CATGAGCTGGTATCGAGTACACGTTGGCACTGTGGTGGTCCGCAAACGACGTTGAAGTATCTTGCAAAGCCGTGCGCGTATTTCTCATTTTGCGAAAACTGCGCGAAGTGTGTATGCGAGCTCTGTAAATAAAAGTCTTGAGTGGCTGGTTGATAATTGACACAAGCCTACGAGTGTACGCTCGAGTGACGCGTCTAGATGGTACACGTGCACTGTGTCAGTGGACGGTATGGTCTCGTCCAGGTGCATGTATCGTGAACAGCGTTTTCTACTGATGCCCAAAGGGCTATTGATGGTACCTAATCCCGAGGTATTTGTACCGATGGAAACGATTCCTGATTTCAGCAACGACAGCAGTTCGCACGATGAAAAGGAGAAGTCGTTGTTGGGGCGTTTGCACCGATCCATCGTACGTTCTGCAACATCGATCCGCGAGACGATCGAGTGCTGCAGGTGTCAGTGCGCTCTGCAGTGTCTGTGCCAGGCTGCCGTGGTGCTCGAAAAGACCATCAGGACACGTCATCATCAGGCAAGCCGAAGGACTGGCAGGTTTGTTGATGTTTCCGACCTTGGGAGATTGTGCTCAGACCCAAGTGCATATTACGACCAGTGAGACCGGGGATGCACGCGTTCAAGTTACTCCAGATTCGGGAGAGTTTCACCGGCTATCCAGACGTGACTCAGTTTCGCAGCACAAGCGGCAGCTATCATGGTTTACGAATGCCAGATTCGATGCAAGCAGTGATGGAAATGTCGGAGAGAATGAAGACAAAAGCAGCGGAGATGATGTAATAGGCGATGGCAATGAGAATGATGATAGTGAAAAAGAAGAAGAAGAAGAAGAAGAAGGGGATGAAGATTAAGATCCAGACAAAAGCAGCAGTGAGTGAAGAAGACTGCCCGCTAGACGACTCTCGAGCCAGCGCAAAGCGCACAACAACATCGTCGACGGTCTGTTCCTGTTACAGCGTCAACGTAGACGCGGGGCGAACCCGCGACATCATGCTCCGTGGCAATTTGCACAGCTTTCAAGACACGTCAGATGCATGTGGCTGCACGACGCATCGTCCTTGGGAGCTTTGGCTGTACGAAGCATTGTAATGAGACTTCCTATGAAAGCAGTCACCAGCGTTACGAAGCGGTGGGCAGACGGCAATGGCATGTGTTACCTCCAGATGTGCGGACTACACACCGCCGAGGCGCATTCGAGTCAAGCATTAAATTTATTGTCTTCTAGATCGTTAGATGATGCATCACGTGTACCTCTAGAGTAAGCCGCTGTCGCGCCGTTTGTTCTAATATAATATGACATACCAAAGCAAACTGACCCTTCATTCTCGTTTACGACGTTCTACGTTTGCGACTCTTGGCCTTCAAAATGCGTCTACCTTTGGCGTGCTCCGGTGCAACACCAATGCTGAATGAGACAGCAGAGGGCGCGATAAATGCACCTGCAGCAGGAGCTCCGAAACCAGAAGCGGATGGCGTCGCACCGAAAGATGCGTTCGGAATAGCACGGAAGGTCGAAGCTTGGGCTGGGGCTGGGGCATAACCAACGTCCATGCCAAACGTGCTATCAGCATGAACATAATCAATGGCCATGCTACACGTGCCATTATCTAGAGCGCCAAATGCATCTGCAGAAGGAGCTCTGAAACAAAAAGTGGGAGCTTCATTGCCAAAAGCCGGAACTGCTGGAGTGAAACCAAATGCAGATGTCGGAGTTGTAGGAAAAAAGCCAGATCTCGGTAGGTCATTGCCGAATCCACTGCCTGGCGCGGGAGCAGCGAATGTAGTGCCCAATCCGCCGCTTGGACCACCGTTTCAAAGCCGTAAGATACTGGGGCACTCGACGCACTGAAAGTGAATGCCGGCTGCTGGGTGTTTGTCGGCGTAGTCGCGGTTTATGCTTGACTTGATCCTCCGAAAAGAAATGGCGGTGCAGCTTGCAACGAAGACGTGGAGCTGCCATACGGAGTCGAGGGAGCAGCAACTGAAGAACTACTAAAATCTCGCTGCTCTTTCATCGATTAAGTGCAGCAATCACGAAGTTAATAGAAGATTTAATGCCGGTGGATGTGGATAAGTTGGAGAAGAAGAAGAAGAATTAGGGGAAGAGGGAGAGTCAATCGAAAGCGGACGTTGTTGTGAAATCAATTCCGTTCCCGTTCACCAACACAATATCATCTGCTTCTGATCGATTCTCCATCTCCGCCTTATTCTTCGTCTTCTCCTCCTTTTCCATATTCACCAACACTAGCTTTTCATCTCACCACGTGATTGGTGCACTTGACCGATCACAGCGCTAGAGATTTTACAGCTCTCGATTGCTCTCACGTGACTACGAGAGCGTACATTGACATTCGGGCACGGGCGTCAGTCCTGTAGCAACTTTCTCCTTCCTTCGACTGGCAGGTAGCGTCGAGCGGGTCACCGGCGGCACCAACACGTCCACCGCGTCGTCAAGCGTCTATCCTTCTGCTGCTGCTGCTGATCCACCTCCTTTTTCTTCTCCACATCCCCCAGCATTAATTTTTCCAGCACTTTTTCTTCATTTTCACCTCCATCTTCACCACCATCACAATCCCGTCCCTCGCCCTCTTCACCAATATTTGCTTGCGTCGTCCGAATCCGGTCACAAGTCTTCAAGACCGACGACTCTACATCGTCCGTGTCGTCATCAACACCAGCGTCCGCGCCGACATCCAAATCCACATTCGTACCCACGTCTTCCTCCGCCACAAACCTGTTCACAATAGGAATATAACGTGCGAGACGGACAAAGAAACCACTCGCGGGCGCGCGCGAAGGCTCACGCTCGCTACGACGCTCGGTCGTTGTCATGTTTAGTCTGAGGCCTCGGCGCCTGTTTGTTTCACACCTTCGACA